ACCAGGACCAGGACCAGGACCAGGACCAGCACCAACCACAGCATCACCATCAGGACCAGGACAAACATCGGGAACAACAGCGCTACCATCAGGAGGATCAACTCCGGCACCTACATCAGATATTCTCAAGCAAGGGAAATGCCACGAGTGTTACTGTGGTCCAGATATGAATCCCAACACAAGTATAAACACCATTACCTGCAAACCTATTGTCTGCAACAAAAACTGCTCCGAGGTAAGTTCATTCTTACTCCCACTTACTCTTATTGTCACTCCCACTGGAACAATCATTGATGACACCATATGTTGTAAACCCATGCAAGTTAGCAAATAATGTAGTAACATAAGATGAGTTTGGATATGTAGATGTTGAGGACAAAACATACAACAGAAAAACCTCTTAGTATAATGAAATCCAGTGCAAACTGGCCACATAAACATTTTCTCTTTTCTGAATGCATTAGCTATTGTAATGAATTGCATTAGTTTGTGCAGGTGTACTTAATAAAGTGACTCTTTATTTAAGACTATTTAAGACTTTAAGTTTTAAATAGTTTTTAGTTTTCTTTGACTAAGACAAAACGAAAAGACTTTTAGTCAAGAAAAAGAAAAATACAAAAGGAGTTTGCTCTGATAACAACTTACAAAGACACTGAACATATTATGTTCAAGCTTTTCAGAGAGTTCCATAAATGCTTTTATTTCTAAATACATAGTCACAATCACATTTTCTTACAAAGCCAAAGAATTCTTTTCTCCCTATCAGTCACTCTCTCACTCTGTCTCCAGGGCTATGAATATCAAGCCAAGCCTGACGAGTGCTGCGGGACCTGTGTTCAGACGAAGTGTTCTGTACTCACATCTAACAACACAAAGATTTACATTGAGGTCAGTACTGCAGCTGTGTGTGTTAACTTACATTCCTAATATCCAAGTATACTGTACAAGAATGTGAGCTGTGAGAAGAGAGTTCTGTAAAAACAAAAGTAGATATTTATTGAATGAAAAAGAAGAGTATTTCAGAACATCTAAAGTGACCATGGACATTATTTTATATTTTAATACCACTGCCATCACCTTTGATGTAAGTTGTCTTTTTAAATGTGTAAAAAGGAGAAATGATGTCTTAGTTGAACATTCTAATAACCTCTGCTCTTCCTGTTGGTGCAGATCAACACTACTGTGTCTGAAGATAATTGTACGAAATATACCTGTGAGGAGATTGAAGGAAAGCTTGTTTCCAAAACGGTCACCACCAAGTGTGAGGACCTTGACCCCCGGGATTGTGAACCTGTGAGTTTATCAGACCCCTGCAGATGATATCCCTCCACCTGCCTCACCATATACTGTCCATGTCTAACACCCACCTTCCTCTGCTCCTTCCCCAGGGCACAGAGAGCGTTGATACCAGTGGATGTTGCAAAACCTGTAAGTTAGTGGAGTCCCAGTATTTGAACGATCAAGGGTGAAAAGTTGACTTTGGAGGACAACGCTGTGTATCATGTGTTACTGTGAGTGTCTAACAGTTTGCTGCATGTTCCAGGCAAACGCAGGAGTGTCTGTAAGGTCCTGAGTAACAAGGAAGTCATCAAGGTGGGAGACTGTAAGAGTCCACAGCCGGTCAACATGACTTACTGCAGCGGGCAATGTGGAAGCATGTCCAAGTGAGTCTATTGATGTAGAGAGTTAAACGTTCAGCGGGTAGACTTTAGTGAAATCTAATGGTACAGTTGCAATTCCATCGCCTCCCAAACATGAAAGGGAACCTGTGGTAGCGTTCACTTAGCCTAAACCCAAAAGGTGTTTAGTTTGTCCAGTTTGGACTTAAAAATAAAGGGCCTATTCTAGGGTAAAGAGAACAATTAGTACAATTTAGATGAAACACACTAGTGAAAACAAACTAATATTTTATTTTCAATTTCTGCCAATAGATCCCTTTCACCTAAATCTTACACAAAACACCTTTTAAGGTGTCTGAAAGCACAGCACTGCTGCAAAACACCTGTGGATTCATAATCAGCATCAGAGCAGGGCAACAATCTTTACTTACAACAAAGAGCAGATGTTGACTAAACTAAACTGACATTAAACAATAACTGTGACAAAATCTAACATATCAGTGGATAAAGAAGACTTAACAAACTTTAAAAATGCTGTTGGTCGGTAGCCAGCCATTGATTGTATGCAGTGGTTTTTTCTTCACTATTTTTCCTCACTGTAAATTGTAGTGGGCAACCTAGTATAATCAATTACTGTGTTACTGAGAATAACAGTCCAATACAACTCACTAAAGCCACAAGATTGTCAAATCTGTCATTATCTGTTTTCGAAAAGTATTAAAAATTTAGTATGACTAAAACCAACATGGATTTTAGATCTCTTGATGTAATATTAAAGATTAAAAAAACAGGGCCACATGATTTGAGTAAAATGCAGAATACTTTATATTCAAATGAATGTTGAATGAGCTGTTGTAATCACTGGATGTGTATGTTTGTGCAGGTATTCCGCAGAAGCTAACAAGATGATGCACCAGTGTGAGTGTTGCCGAGAGTTCCGAACCAGTCAGAAACAGGTGGAACTGACCTGCAAGGACAGCTCTAAGGTCCAGCACACCTACGTGCATGTGGAAGCGTGTCAGTGCAAACCAGCAGAGTGTGTGCCTGGAACGACCAACAAATCACAGCGCCGCAGAAAGCGCTGAGCACTTACTGCATCCTGCCGGACACTGGACACCTGACAAACATTAACCAATCTTAACCTGAAGTCTTCTTAACATTTGTGTCAATTTTTTTATTTATAGCCTAAGAGGCTACTTTGATGTACACCTCCTTCCTCTGAGGATTTCTTGGATGAATTATTAAAATTATATTCCTGCAATATGAACACCTGTTTCGACATTCTTATTAACCCTTGTCAAATGATGAACAAAAATGAACACAAAAAACATCTGCATGTTAAAAACAAATTGAGGGTAAATCCACCTAAAGAAACAACACCTTGAGCCTAACATTTCTGAGAAAGCTTTTCAATTCCCGCAGATGAAGACCTGATATCATCCAGCTTCACACTGTTCTCAAAACTATTTCAGTCTAAAGACTAAACACCTGCACTACATGCTCTCATTCTATGTCTTAAATGAATGGTTTTAAATATACAAATTAAATGTGTCTTGGAAATGAACGGAATGACGAGACACGATAAAATGACTGAGACACCTTTAAGAATCTCAGCAGCGATCGTTTTGAAACCACACGTGAAAAGTCACATGGACTAAACCTTTGGCAGACAACACATCAACAAGACCTTGAAACCCACAAGTGTGAATAGAAAGCTTTAAGAACAGATACAAATACTGTGATGAAACTAAGCATTTGAAGCATGAGGTGTTACAAACTGCTGTTGTTCCTAAGTCGTACAAGCTTTAACATTAGGGTGGCACTACTGGAATGATAAAGGAGGGTGGGGTGCGGCATCTGTGGACCATGAACATTCAGGACACACTTCATGGAAGTCTGGTCACATTATCTTAGTCCTTACTGGTTAGAATCTTTTCAGGTCTCTACATTATCAGAGTTCAGGTCTCTGAATCCTACTGAGCTTCAAAGTGATGTCATTCTTCTCATGCTCACACAGCATCTTTACACTTACTATAAAAAAGTGACTCCACAGGATAGTGGGTTTTTAACATCTAGTCTTCACATCCGGCAGAAAATGGGTCACATCCAAACTTTACAATTGAACCTTAAAAGATGACTCAGGGTGATGTGGCGTTCAGTGGTTATTTCCTCTTTGCCTCAAATTCCATAGGTCTGTTCATCCTTGATTCTCTCGTCACCATGGAGAATTAAATTAAATACTTTCATAATAATTTATCAGATTTTAAATGCACCAAACACTTTACAGGTAAATATGAAACAGAAGCCTTTTGCTTAAGGTTATTACAGGCATCCACACACTATTAGCAACAAAATCAACATAAACATAAGATGGAGTCTGTGCAAATCAACTATGGAATCAGTTAGGCAAGTACAGACTGGGTTACTATGGATATAGTGAGGAATTGTGCCACTGAAACAAATGACAAACACAAAATGATTTTGGTTGGTAGGATTTACAATACCCATCAATTTACACTACTGCCGGTTCGATACTTAGTTTGAGTCCCTACTGTGATACAATCCTGTCTAAAGAATTTCCCAAATACACTGAATCTGCTATATCACCTTCAAATTAGACTTCTTCAAAGTAAAGGTGAAAACAGTTGTGACGGTTTGAGGATCCAGTGACTCAGAGTGCTGTGTTAGCAGAGACAGCCAAGGCTTCATGTACAGTCAGGCCAAGAAGGAGTCAACAGAGGGAGAAACAGATCCCTGTGGCGACCAGCTGGTGGAGCTGGAGGGAATTCAGATATGGCTGCGGCGTGTGTGTGAGCCTATGGTGTGTGTGTGTGTGTGTGTGTGTATATTTTGTGTGTGAGGGCTGCATGCATGTACACGTGTATGCGTGTGTGGGATGTCCGTCGCGGGCTTGTGTTCTACTGTTAGAGCTCCTCAGCCATCTGCAGCAGGGAGTTAATGGCAGCGTCCTTGTTTCCCTGCTGTGCGTCAAGCACAGTGCGAACCACCTCCTTATCCAGGTTGGGGAACATGTCCTGCAGAGCCTTCAGGTCCTCCTCACTGCAAACAGGCCCCTGGCCCCCAACAGCTGGCATGGCCCCTGGCATTGCCATGGGCACCATACCCTGGTTGTAGACTGTAGGCACTCCTAGCAACACAGGACACACACTGCAGGTTTAACAATGTGGCAGATGAACGGTTTGGAAATGATTTATTAATTTTATTATATTAATAGTTTTATTTCAAGCAGAAGTATTGTAACATGGTTTTGTGTGTGTGTGTGTGTGTGTGTGTGTGTGTGTGTGTGAGTCTGACCTGCGATGGGCACATATCCCACTCCCTGCTGATACACAGAGGGCATCAGGACAACAGGCTGAGTCATCATCCCTGCTGGTAACGACTAGCACAGACATAACATTGTGTTACCACATGATATCCAACACCATCAAAACCTCTGCGCTCTGAACCCTGAAATCTGGAATGTCATAAACAATGAAAACAGAAGGCCCCTGCATTCAGTGTAACTATGATCACTTCCACAAAAAAGTATGAAGTTGTATCAGTAAAGTGATGAAATGTCATGGAATATAATTCATTTTGTTCTTTATTATATTACATAATTTCATACCATATATTTCATTTTGCCATAAAAAAGTATGTGTATATATATATATATACAAAATAATAGACATACTTTCTGAATGAGGGTCAATATTTCATATACATAAACATCAACAAGCTGATTATTCACAACTATATTAGCAATAAGATATATTTAGATTATTTACTGAGTTTAATTGTTTAACCTTAAGTGAAGATTCTTATTCCTTTCCTATCCCTATTCCTTTTATATATCAATTAACATCCTAAATATGCAGCAAACAGAAAAACCCTAAATCACGATCTAATCAACCACTTTTCAGTCTGTTTGATGGGGTGTGTGTAAAAACACTCACAGCAAAAGACATCACAAGGTTGATCATGCCCTCCTTGTCGTCGCCCTGCCTGCCACTGAGGCTGAACCACTCGTCCACCACGTTGCCCTCCCTCAGGCCTTCAGGGATGGTGACATGAGTCCACGCTATCCTGTCGTCCATGGAAAATGCTCTCTGCACACCACATCAGCAATAACACGTTACCACAGACTAGAAACAACATCAGATCACTGACAGACAAAAGCCTGGTTAGTTTATGATTAGAACAATGATTTGAAAAACTGAAAGTGCTTCCTTTTTTTGTTTTTTCTAGCATGAAATGAAGAAACAGAACTCAGGTCTTTTTTCATTTTGTATTTGTGAATACAAAGCTGCACCACCAATAAATGTCCTCTTCCCAACGTATCGCGATGACGATATATCTTGTGGTAAATAAACATCAGCAGTCCCTGGCTACGGACGCAGAGACCACGGACAGCTCAACCCCCCGAGGGAGAAGGAGCACAGCCTGGCTGCAGCGCCACCATGTCCGGGGCAGACACCAGGGAGCCATGCACAGCTCCATTATGTCCACCCTATAGTGTTAATTTGGAGTATTTTCAAACATATTTGGACCGTGAATCTTTTTATTTATTTATTTATTTTTACAGTTTGGTTTTGCTGTGCTTCTATCAATAGCGCTGCAAACTGCGCCAATCGTCAAACCAAACCCAGTGTGCCGCCGTCTCCTCCAGCTCAACATACATTGACTAAGTTTACAAGGTCTGTTGTTTTTACCCAGATTGAGTTTACACGAGTCCGATCTCACTGTGTGTATGTCTGCGTAAGAGCATAAAAGAGAGAGAGACAGAGCTAGCAAGCGTGACTCAGTGCTCTGAAGAAAGATTGAGAAAGTATCGATCATTATGTGATGATCAGTGTGGGGTCATTTCAAACAAATCAACATTTAAACTGAAGCGGCTCACAGATGTCAGCTGAGTCAGATAGGAGAGCGAGAAAGAGAGTAAAGCGGAGTCAGTGTGTGTGCACTTCTTTTCCCTCAGGTTCTGGGATCATAAAGCAGTCTCCCGCTATACCAATTTTACGCATGTTGATATATGTTAATGTTCGATATATCCTGCAGCTCTACTTCAAACCACTGCTGCAGCATTGTTTCAGCTCATGTTCAGTGGCCTATAGATGGTCTCATATAATTTTGATCTTTATGAAGCCTCACAATCTGCTTTCTTACGTGTTCCTTAGCACAATGCATTGGACACAATCCAATGCTGTGGTTTTCACAGGTTTTCATTTATAATCCTTAAAAGAATCATGTAATACATGAAATTAGCTTTAATTGGAAATTAGATGAGTGATCACTTTTGTTGTCCAAAGGTTGTATTTTCCCACTTTCCACACTTTAATTTAGAAGTAATGCAATTGTTGTTTTAGTGATATTGCACATGGGTCTACTCAGTGGTGTTGTATTTTGTATTTAGCAGTTCAGATCATCCTCCCCATCTCCTCACCTCATCAAAGATCTCCAGATAGAAGGAGTCCACCCCAGGTGGCACTGTGCACTGGATCACCTTGTTCCAGCGTGGGTTCTTGGCTCCGTTGTGAGCGGTTGGTGTTTCGTAGACTGCATATCCCAGTCGGATCCTGCAGTACGGATCCATCCGTGTCATACCATAGTTTTTAGCCAGTTTGGCCTGTACAGCAAAACAAACATAGGGGCTTCAATTAGTGATGCAGTCACAGCTCAGCCGGGTTTTCTCACTTATTCAGTAGATAGTGGTGCAAATCTGTAATGGAGAGTCTGTGCATCACTTAACCATTCTACATGATTCCAGTTCTGATTTTGATTTACTTCATTTACTTTCGCTTAGAATAACAGATTAAGAGGAACAAATTCAAGAATCTATTTTTGTCTTACATGATGGCTACTGATTCCTCTTGATTCAAATTGGCTGAAAAGAGTGCATCAACTTTAAGTGACTTGAAAGATGTCTGTGAAGGTTCTCAGTCATTCAGTTCATGATTATCTAAGAAGAAAACTTCAACCAGTCCAGTTGCCCCCTGATTCAAGCCCTCTTTCATGACCGACACAGATGTTTGTTTCATGCACTGCCTTAAAGCCTGTCAAGGAGCTTCATTGTCTTCCACATCCAGAACAACGTACAGTTTGTTGGCTATCTCATCCCCTACTTCATTTCTCCAGGTTGACTTATTGACAGCCAGCTAAAATTAAGCTGGTAATTCTCATCGACGTACAAGCTGTATTTACCTGGACCACAGTGATGCTGAGTCTCCCCATGGTGCCTATTGAGCCTCCATACTGCAACTGTCTGGCTGCCTGGGCATCCAGCTGGACCTGCTGCTGCTGCTGGGTAGGAGTGATGCGCAGGAAATCCTGGGGAAGCTCCCCAATAAACACCTGAACACATACATCCATACACACGTTAACATGCCGGCATTCCGACTGAGAATGTGAACACATGGAAAGTAAAACAACAGATTGGAAACTTTTCTGGAAGTTAATTTTGTATTTTATCTACAGATATGTTCACCACTTTGTGTGATTGTAATTTTAATCTTAAATTGAAACAAAGAGCAAAAATCCTTAGGAAAATCATCATCGTCAAACTCATTAATAACACTCATCATTCAAATCTTGTGATCATCATGAGGATCTTAAATTATTCATCTTATGTCATGGCCAATAGGAGCCCTCTTGTGCAAGTCATGTGAATGTCATGATGGCTTGTTGACTGAATCGCCGGCTGCTCTTAGAGGTCTGGATTTAAACATGAAAAACTGGTCTGGAATGGACCAACTAACACGGCTTAATATCCAGTGAGCATTTTGCGGCTGCTGCTGTGACGTACTGCACAGAGGGAAGAGTGTGAGTGTGTGAGCTGTGGCTCTGCAGCACATCAATGTTACTCTGTGGCTCAGGACTGAATTCCTGAATGATATGGCCATTTATGCGTCTTCATTCTCTCGTGGGATGACAACATACAGTTAGATTACATATATCTACCAGAATTTTAAATAGTATAGCTCCAGATGACACCATGCCAAATTTCATGTTACCACATCAACTGGCTTGCTAAAGTCTCCTTTCCTTCCTCCCTTGCAGAATATCATGCATCATCATGCTGCAGATAGCAAACACAGCAGTGTTTTCCAATGTTCAGTTCCCCCTGACAGCAAAGTAGACTGATATAAATCTGTAGCTCTGACACTGCCTGGCGGACACATTTTTAAAACAACAAATACTCCTTGCTTGCTAGAGAGCTACCTTTGTTTGATGCTGGACAGTTTCAACCAAGTGACAGTAATTAAAGATTGAAACTGTATCACTAACTGGAATTTTACCAAGGTATATCATGAGAGCAATAAACATTTCAACCCTAGAACCAACAACTAAAAGAAGATGCTAAAAACCCAGAATGACACTAATGGTTAGTGTCTCTGCGCTCTGGTTTTGATGTCTTAATCACAGTCTCAAATTATTTTTAAATTCTCAAAACCAGCCTTCCAACATTCACATTTTATTTCACTTTTCAAAGTGATCAGGTGTGGAGATAAGAAAGTGAGCACGCAGGATCTGAACTTCTTTATTTCTTTCACTTTCTGTCGTGTTCATAAAGTAGCTTATCGCTTAGAATGTTGAGGAAGAGACTGCCCGAGGTAATTGTTATTGCCCCTCTCTATTACAGCAGTTCTATCACTCACACCTGTTTGTGCATTTGTCTGAAACAGCTATGAACACTTTTGCCTTCTGACGTGCTAGTTCTTTTTTACAAGTATACCTCAGCTGTTACATGGCCGGAGTCGTCAAGTCACAAGGAATCAACATTTGCCGCTGTGATGAACACTGCATCAGGGAAACCGCAAGGACCCTGAACAGGCAGAATAGACAATGGACACAGACAACTTCTGCTGTGAACGTCAACAACCCCTCCCTGCGCAGCAGGAAGAGGTCAAAGGTTAGTGGACAGCAAAGAACTACTGAGCCGACATCTGGGAACTGTTTTTGTTCAGACTCTGGCTGGGTGAGATGGAAATAAATTATACCAAGATTATAAAAATGAATCAGTCAGTAGTGATTATTATCAAATTTTTGCTCCTGAGTGAAGGTTGTGGTTTTAAAGGTACAGTGTGTAGAATTTTGTGATATCTAGTGTTGAATTTACATGTTGCAGCTGACCACCCCTCTTCTCACCCTCTCCTTCTAAACATGAAAAAGAAACTGTGGTAAACTTTAATTGTCATAAAAACTCAAAAGGTGTTTAGTTTGTCCGGTCTGGACTAACGTAAAAAACATGGCGGCCTCCGTAGAGAGTAAATATGTATGTAAATATAAAGTATTTAAATATAAAGGACCTTTTCTGGGGTAAAGAAAACTACAATTCATACAATTTAGATGAAACGAACTAGTGAAAACATCATGAGGATTATTCTACATTAAATTTCTGCCAAGAGATCCCTTTCACCTAAATCTTACACTCTGGAGCTTTAAAATTGTCTTTATGAGCAGAGAATGACAAACACTTGATAAACAACCAAACATTTTATAAATCTTACACCACTTATGTGTTATACCTCCTTGCTGTACTTGTGCAATGCATAAACACTATATCAATATTGGACTTTTGTTATTGCTACCGATGAAAACTATATCGCGTTCATTTTTGATATATTTGAATTGCCCAGCCCCAGGTCAGACCCTGAAGTTCCATCTTGGCTGCTTGATGACAACTGAGCCAAATCACTTACCGACTCAGTTGAGTCGATTAAACTGGGTGATGGTGATTCTGATGTCAAGTGAAACGTTACTGTCCCTGAGGGGGGGAAAAACGTCTTGCAGCCAAATTAAACCCAAAACCCAGAGATAATGCAAATGCTACAGTGTTAGTGTGTTATGAGGGATGAGGTGTCGTTCACATGCGTAGAGCTTAGGCTGCACACACAGCGCTGGCAGCTAGTGGAGGCGTTGCAGCTCACTCGTCCTGTATCATGAGATGAGACTGAACGTTGATATTGCAGTTTGGTTTCAGCATGGCCACAGACCTGACACACCATGTGGTCCAGGGTTTGTTCTCCACCTCCACACCCTCACATGAGCAAGACACAGCGGCTGGAATCATGCCAGGAACCCACATGAACCAAATCAATCAGAGAGGAGAGTATTTATGTTTTGTCTCTTATCTTAATAAGTTGCTCACTACTCAACCCGTTAGGTCAGCGGTGAGCACTTGATTTTAGAAAGAAGACCATGTTTGACAACGTGTTTAACGTCGGACTTGAATGTAAAGGACGTGAATGAGACTCGGCTGTCAAACGTCAACAAAGCGTCGCAGCAGCTTTAATCCGCGGCTAACTCCATTAGCTCGTTTTATATCGTCACTAACAGAGGAGGCTAACCACAGTGCTACAGGCCGCTGTGTGTGGCCGTCAATGACTGAAGTTAGCTAACTATCACCGATGTTGCCCAACTAGTGTGGCTAGTTCCGCGTCGCTCTGTCTGTGTGTGTCTGTGTGTGTGTCTGTGTGTGTGTCTGTGTCAGCGCAGGGTGTGTACCTGTCCCCGTTGGGTGCTGATGGTTGTCGCCATGTTGTGTCTTCCGTGTGTGGAGAGTCTTAGTCCTCTTCTCTCACAGATGTGTCAGTGTCAGCGAATGTAACAACAACAACACACACACACACACACACCGCTCAGCGCAGACGCGACCCGGAAGTGGACACTTGTGTGTTTTAGTTTTTTTTCCCTTTTTTTTTTCAATCTTTATTTCCCTCAATGCAAGTTACAATGTGGCGTCTAAAAGCGTTGAATCTTAAAATTTATTTCAACAAATGTATTTTAGCAGGTCACATTTATGAAGAACAGACTTTATATTAGTGTTATTGTCAAATAACGTTATAATAAATAAATACATGCAAATACAACTACAGTTTGGGATAATAATAAAAAATTCTACATGTATTTATTGATTTCTGTATGTATTTATTCATGTTTGTTTTTCTGCAATAAGTGATTCATTTATTTCTACATTTACTTTTGTATTTATTTATTTATTCATGTTTGTATTTCTACCTTTATTCGATTATTTCACCATTTATTTATTTATTTGTTGTTTATGTTGTTTTTGTCCTTCATACACTTACTTGTCTTTTCTTTTTTTTATTAAACTCAGTATAGTTCTTTGACTTCACCAGAAGAAACGTGAGTGGCTTTAACTCTCAACATTGTAACTCCTTTTCATTTAAGTCTTCTAACTGTAAGAGATCTTTGAGCTCGACCTAATGTGGTCTGAAGGTGACGAAACAGTGAAATCTCCCATTCTGAGGCTGCCACGACAATGCCCGACACTTCTTCGCACATATCTGACCACAGATTCTTAATACACATAGCCAGCCTAAATAACACAATTTAACATCAGAAATGACAGTTATTTATGTCTAAGTTAAATCTGTCTAATAATGATTAGATGGATGTCTTAGTTAGGGGATGGAATCTTGCCTCTTTTTCACTGCAAAGCAACTTTTTTTTACCTTTACTGTGGTTATCTGCTGATTATGAATGCTCTTGCACAATAATGTAAGATGTTTGATATTATTGCTAAATTTCCATGGGGGCCAGTGTCACCAGAGTGCATCTCTCAGAAACACAAAACATGTCGAGACACAAAACAGAGAAAATATAAAGGTTTCTAAACATTTTATTTCAGAAAACAAACTAACTGAGCAACACCACTAGGCAAACTGAGCAACCAACCTTAAGGAAAAAACACTTACTAAGGACTTGTATTGTCTTCCAATTAAACTTAATACATTTGAGGCACTGAGGAGTGTCATGGGAGAACTTGCTCAGAGGTAGCCTATGTTCTTATGAGCTCCAACAATATACCATGTCCAAAACGTGGTATATCTTTGACCCATTTATTTCCATCCCAACACTGTTCATGTTGTTCATCATCGTCGTCGTTATTGTGTTCACCTTAACACAGGTAAGTAGCAGTCAAGACTTCGATTCATCACAGTCCACTTTCCATTCAGCAAACACACACCACGGTCAAAATAACTGTGTCTCCTCCTCACCCGGAGCTTACGTCCTCTGACAATGCTCTGCCCAGCGTTCAGAAGATGTATGACATATGGTCAAAACTGAATCGCATGAACAGCAACTTTATGAGAGATCAACTAAAACTATGCAATAATATAAAATAGGGAATATTTTTAGACCTATGAAAATGTTATTGTTACTATGACTGATATGAAGGACCTGTCTATCATATGCTAACACAAGTGAAACATCAGAATAAGTGATTCATTCATTACAGAAAATAATTACTAAAATGTTTTACAGAGGGCAGACTCAAAGTTACAGATTTTAAGTGTTTGTGTGAGGATGCATTCTAAATATAATTTAGTTAATTCTAAGAGTTGTTGTTGGAAGAAAACATGTCTTGAGGAAACAAACACTCTTATTTACCTTTATCTCTTCCATGACTGTTACTCATTTCCTCCTTTTCGGGTTATGACTGACGTCGATATATAGAGACACGTTTCAATCAATGACTGATCATTCTGGCAGCTCCTGTTGTCATCGATGTGATGTCACCACAGTGTGGTAATGAACCTGTAGGGGCTTAGTGACTATAAATTGTTTCCCTGCTTTACTGAACAGTACAAGTCACACACAGTGCCCTCTGATTCATTGTGTATGGAGATGTATTGACGGTACACTTGCCTATATTAACTGAAAGGGGCACCAAATGTCCGCTTATTCATAAAGTGGTTCCTTTCATTTATTTATTTTTATGCATTTCTTCAAATCCAAATTTCATTGTAGGTAAACACATGTCTAAGTGATAAGAGACAGATAACAGTATACACCAATCTCCCTTTAAATGCTGTTGTGGTCCAAGTGTTTGTTAGGAGAAACTGTAACCCTTTATTTCAAATTGTGTAATAAAAACATAGAATAACGTGACTTTTTCATACGTTTTCTGAGGAGACCCAGTTATTTGACTATTATTTGACTTTGCATATATTCAGTCATTATTGCAGAATTATTGGGCTCTACTGACTTGTTAGTTTTTCTTCTCCTAGATCTTCATCTTCTAAGTGCTACTGCATCTTTACTCTCTTCTGTTCCTAAATGTGCTTTTACTTTTTTCTCTGGACAAGCTGTGGGGCCGAGAATGAGGAGTTATTAGTCTGTTCATAAAAAGACAATCCTGGCTGATGAGCATAGTAGCATGGTGGCTACAGCGTGACAGCTTCAAAATGGGTAAAACAAAAACTGACTTATATTGGTTGAAATTATTTTTATCAGCGTAATTCATACTGCAAACTCATCAACTTTGAGATTTGAGAGCTGAGCAATTCTACGACCCTTTTTTAAAGTAAGGTGTCGTGGTAGCAAGGCAGAACCTGATTGGTTCTCCTGTGTACATTTGGGGCACTGATTGGTGCTCTGCAGGTAAATTTGATTTTAAAAGTTCATATTCATTTTGGGGATTGATTTTACAAGAGCCAAAAACGAACAATTGTTAAAATAAACCTACACACAACGTTAATAACTTTCAGACTACATCTGGCAACATTTCTCGTGAATATTCACTTAGGCAAAAGTCAAAAAGTCAGATAGAGTCAGCTTGTTATTCTAATCAGGGTTTATTGGGTATTTTATTCTCCATATATTTTGGACCATAATGTTCCCTGAAGACAAATCTTCCATTTTGTGCATTCTAAGCTCACTTGCTGTTCTCTGACTATAAGACTCTGAGTAAAAACACTAGCAATAACAGGAAGAAACAAAAAGCTGGAACATGAGCACCAACGGAAATTGTCTTCTTTTCTCTTTAAAAAGGGTCAAGCTACACTTTTCCCCACTGGAGCCCTTCTATGAATGTACAGTTTGAGTCCAGTTTTGGTCTTGGAAAGTGAAGGAAACTGTGGGACTTGCGAATATTCCAGCCAGATGAGCACAAGCCACATCGTTGGTCCTCTGGTCATGAACACAGACAGACTGCAGTCTAGATGAATGTGGATCTGCAGGGCTCGGGGATTACAGCAAATACAGCGAATACACACAAGCATAGATTACAAGCCTGTGTTTCATATTGGTGTGTGAGCACTGCATGTCTGTACAATACAACCAATTTAATGTTGCAGCCACAAGACTTGACCTCCAGCCAGAGTCAAATCTTGTGTGAGACCTGCTGCACGGGATTCTCCTGCCACACCAAGCAGCGGCACTACTGCTCTGACTTCTCAAGCAAGTCCAAGAAAAGTGTGAAAATAGTGATTGTGCGAAACATTTGGCACCAGTTTATTCATAATTTTTAAGTTAACACAAACTAGATCACATTTTACCAAGATTTCATTGCAGATTAATATATATATATATAAAAAACAAAAAAACATGATTACTAAATGTATTGTGACAAAAGTCTCTCTGCTGTGGATTTGATGTCTAATTCTCCACAAAAGAAAGAGCAGAAATGCATCATGTGCTTGCAGTGGTGAGTTGACAAGCTCAAACTTAAAAACTTTATTTTATTGTTTTTACACTCACATGAAATGCTACCTCCTCATAACACTTTTCAAATGGGAACTCCCAAAGACGAACTGACGCACATCGTCTGGAAACAGAAGCTGCTGTCAGTCACACTCTCAAACACACACACACACACA